ATGGTTTATTTTTTGCTGGATTAAATGATGGTGTTTTCTACTGGGAAATACTTCTAGTTAACATTCGAAAGATTATTTTTATACTTTGCAGCACACTATTATCATCTATGAGCACAGTGATAAAAGTAAAACTTATCTGAATTCTTAAAATACTTAATTTAGGGCCTCTTGGGTATCTTAGTACTTTTCATTTAAATTCAATTGATTTTTTTGTTAAAACCTTACACAGACCCAAGATTTAATGAGATTGAAAAGCTCTCTGTTTATTCAGCAGTAAGTCACTAAATAGATTTTATAGAAAAAACTTAATATGATATTTAGACATTAACCTTATTCGGTGGCATGTTCTTTATATAAGAGGAGGTGGAATAAAATAGTGAGCTATTAGTAGCCCTATTTTTGGTAATCTTACTTTTCAATGCTCATTTCATTCTGGTCTGGATAATTACATTTGGCAAGATACTTGTGCGACTACACTTAAAAAAACTAGCTTAATACAAGTGCTTCAAATTTCTAAAAATGTACAACATTAGAGATTATGAAAATGATTTAAAAGAATACTTTAAAAACAAAGAAATTGAAACTCAAAGAAAAGAAAGTGGAATTTTCTATTCAAATTCTTCCAAAAGCAATTAGTATTTTGGAGATGCACTTTAAGAATTAAAAAAATCTATAGATGAAGGAATGAATCTATCAAAAGTTTTTATTAATCGAAACTGTGATCCTCAAACACTAAAAGACCAATCTAGCTTAATAAATATTCAAACTTTAAGATAGTAAGATGCATCTATAAAATTCTCAACAAATTACATCAAGTCAAGCAATGCTACTCTTATAAATAATAAAACAATAGAGGACATTCCTTTTTCATAGCGAAGTTCAAAATTTATACAAGTAAAATCTCAATAAAAAGCAAAATCCTAATTTCAAAAAAAAAGGATAATGTCTAAAGATCAATATCCTTAAAATTAAATCAGGAAAGAAAAGTATACTCTGCAAGAAACATTTCAGTTAGATTAGTGTAAAGAAAAAATAAATTCATACAAAATTATATCTCCCATTGAAAAAACTGAGATCAATTTTTATGAAGCAAAATCTCCTGCTGCAATTGATATATACCCATTCGTATAAAAGATTAGCCTTTTCAAAGAAATCAAGAAGAAAAAATAGTAAAGTGAAAAAACTTTGGTATCTAGATTTATGAAACCGAAGAGAATAAAAAAAATGAAATCAACAAAATCTGAAATGTTTGCTATTGAAGTTGATGCAAAGCTTTTGGCTTAAAAATTAAGAGACAACTTTTGTTTGTATGATAATAATGATAATTGTAAGTAGATATTATAAAAGTAGTGATAAAACTCCTACTGTACCTAATAATGATTTGGTTAGTGATATTGCAGGAAATTTATTTTAATTCATTTATAAAAATTTAACTTATCAAGCATCTTGGGGTTTTGGGGTTTTGGGG